TATGAGAAGTTGCCAAACTTCTGTTTTATATGTGGGCTAATTGGACACTCAGACAAATTCTATCACTTGAACTACGAAGAAGACCTAGTGGTGGAGAAAAAGTATGGAGTTCATCTTAGAGCAGGTAGCGGAGGGAAGACGAGTCCTACAGGAGGAAACCAATGGTTACTGGAGGGTTCATCGAGCTCTGGCAGGGACTATAGGTATGGAGTGGGGATTAAATCAGAAGATAGGTTGAGAGATGGGAGGAAAGATTTGGGGGCAGATTCAGAACAGAGTATAACAAAGGGAGCAAGAAAAGAGAATAAGGAAGAAGCAACAGGAGAACAGAAGCATAGGAGGTTGTGGGAGACTCAGGGAGATGAACTGCAAGGGAAGGAAAGTATGGCACTCGATGGGACAAAAAACGGGGAGGAGGCGGGCTTCGATCAGTAAGCCCGCCTAAGAGATGTCAGAATCAGAAGCAAGGATTCCTGATAAGGATGCAAAGCAAGCAGATCAGGAGGTAGGCTATTATTTTTTATTTTAATTTTTATTACTACTCAGACTTCTCAGTATGTTTTTTATTTGGGTTTGCTATTGTTTTTCTTGGTTGTAAGACATTGAATTTGGATGTGGGTGACATTGGAATTGGGGTAACCATTTATGGCTCATTTGTGCCCACTAATGGATCAACGAGTTATATTGCTTCTAATGAGGTGATTAACCCTGAGTCTATTTCGCGGGACAGCGGTTGTCACGATTCTATTTGTCGGATTACCCATCATCTAATGTTGAGATTTCAATTTAAGCCAAATTCTTCCAAAAAAATGTTATTATATAATTTTTCAATAATATGTTAAATAAATCACTTTTAAAAAGCATAAGCAAACACATACACTCCATAAATGCAATGTGTCTTTGTCATCACAAATATTCCAATGTAAAAATAAATAAATTTGGAGTTTAATTTTATGTCATTTTTATTTGTTTTTTAAAAAATAACTGAAAATGAAAAAAATGCAATTGTGGGTTCTTAATTGTAACACTTCGATCTATCTACGAAAAATGTTGGGCCTAAAAGCCTCAACTCGCCATATCTTAGATTTTTTAACTTTATATATGCAACATTGATGACATATAAAAGAACGTAAAAAAATATTATTTTTGATATACCTTATGTAAAAATTAGAGTACAAATAAAAAGTTATATAGGAAATTTTATAAAATTAATTAATTCACTATGGACCACACCTCCTACATCTCTCATCTTTTATATAAAATTAACTTCTTTTTTTTAGTAGTGGTGAAAAATTGAAAATATGTGGTGGATTCCTCACTGATGGGTGCATGTCCTTCAACTGACTTTCACAATACTCATGTTGTACATATTTATAGTCTTTTCACTCCAATGAATGCAATTGGTCTTACCATTATTATATTTATGTGTATCCAAACAAATGTAGCTACAAAATATATACATAAATCACAGTCATAGGTTTAGTAACATAATCCTCTACTTTTTAATATATATAAAAGTATTGAGGTCATTTATTGTACAACTACAGTGAATATACAAATTGGTTATTATATACGGAGTATTATATACAAATTGTTTAAATACTAATTTTTAAAATAACTTAATTATTATTGAAAAGGGTATCAAAAAACATAACAATAGAAAGCCAAAGAATTACAATCATAACGTTCAATGCTACAATAGGGTGAGACAAAAGAACAAAACAGATCTATAAATGCGCTCATGTTCGCTAACCCTACAACTTAGCGAAGAAGAGTCTTAAAATAAACCGTTCTAAGACACTTTTGCCCGAAGTATAACACAAGCATATTTTATAAGGTATCCAAAACTCACTGTTTATAGGTCAATAGTCGTTTGTAAAGCTTTTTATCATGTCTTGTGTACGAGCGTGATTTTTTCCGCTTTTTAAAACTCTATTTTTTATTTTTTGAATGACTTATACTATAATAAGAGGCCGTTTGGAGCATCCAATATGGGCTGATAAGCCTGTAAGTATAAAAAAAATCACCAAACACCTGTTGATTTGGTTGTTTGAGCTGATTTTTTTATCAGCTGAAAAAATAACAATTTAGTTTCTTTTTGAGCTGTTTTTTATTATTGTACTGTTTCTAACTGAAAAGACCAGTTTTCCCTTCTATTATACGTACGTTGAGTAGTGCTCCAGATCAAAAGCTACGTGGTCATGTAGTGCTAAATATTTTATGGTTTTGGATCAAGTAAAATATTAACAAACTCCACTAAATATTTATGAGTATTTTTATTTCGTTTTTATTTTAGTTTAAGTGCATGTGCATGATCTTTTTAATACTCCATATATTTTATTGAAAGTGTATTTTTTTGTATTGAACAATATAAATTCAACACAAGAGTAAAAAATCCAATGTCATCGGTTAATTAAGTTGTCTAATAATTACCTAATCAAGCAAAATTAATTTACTAGCAAAGTTAATACACATATATTTAACACAAATAAGTTAATATCTTTTATAGTAATGTTACCCTCAATCAGCCATTTCAACCAACATATTACCAAACACTTTCACTTCAGCACATTAAGCCTTTTCAGTCTATTAAGCCTATTCAGCCGATGCGTCCATTAATTATATGCTTTTATACTCTTGGTAGCTCAATAGATCGTTTTGTGTCATAACTTTTAGTCTATTTCACGAGCTTTTTGTGAGAGACGAATAGACACAGAGTGTGGAACTATACGCCTCTACAAGAATTGATCATTTGGATAAAAGTACTAATTTTATATGTGAACCTTGAATTTTGTATTTTAAAAATGAAAATATGTTTTGTTTATTGTTAATAAGGATTGAGAAATGTAGTTACCTAGAAGGAGGCTAAAAAAGAATGAACCCTGGCGGTCATCTCCCCTCTTTGTAGGGGTTGAGATTTTCCGCCGCCCCTATCAATATAGGGTTGGAGCGGTATATTATACTGATTTTAAGTGTTCTAACACTTGGAATTGCAACTACGTCGGAAGAGATATCGTTGGCGGATGAACGAGTTGCGGCTGAGAGTTTGTATCGATGTTGGATCTGAAGCCTTGGTCGGCCGCTCTGACGGTGGTGGAGTTGGTATTCAACCATATTGCAAAAGCTTATCCTCCTTCGAAACCACCTTCATATTAGGAAGAGTTTTGTGGAAAGATTTTATTTCAATATTATTTTTTCTTAAGTAGTACTCCCTCTGTCCCACTAATATTGTCTCATTTTACCTTTTCGGAAAATCCCACTAAAATTGCCTCATACCAAATTTGGTAAAGTTTGTGTGGGTCTAAATCATTCTTACTTTATTCTTATTTTATCAATTAATATCAACCACATAAACTCACTTTTTTAATAATCGTGTCACCCCCTCCGTCCCAATATTAGTGGGACGGAGGTAGTACTTGTTTCTGTTTTGGTCTAAGTAGATTTGGTTTGATTGTTTGGATTTTTGGAGTTCTTTTGATAGTCAGGGTTTCAGATCCGTTCGTTTTGGGCTTAAATTTGCCCGTTTCAAGTTTAGCGAATCAAGTTGCTTTGCATGATATGACTGACTCTATGTCTACTTCTAGGGTTCACAATTGGATCTGTAAAATTTGTATGTAGGTTGCCTTGTATGTGTTCTCGTTTTTAATATGAAGCGCTCTTTTATGATAAAAAAAAGATCGACAAATGTAGCTAGTTTGCGCACTCTGCTTTACGTTTCATATACAAGTCTTGTCATCTTCACAAAATTTTGTAATGTTGTGCATCTCATGTTTTGCTAGTCTACCCGGCCCAATTTTGAGACCCATTGGATCCTGGTTTGGGTCCAAATTTTCAGACTTGTCAAATATATGGGTCCGAGTCCTTTATTAACTTAGCGAGTCCGTGTCTAGAACGCCACGTTCCGGCCCGGACCTAACCCATTAACAGACCTACACATGAACTGTGATTATATTCTTATCCAATATTTTTCATAATGTAAATCCTATGCACTGATATATAATTCATGTTACTACAAATGTAATCTCAGATTGCAGTAAATGTAAATTCTTGGACTTTGCGTCCAGTAGACACTAAAGAAATGTTTGAAATGTAATCTCACGCAGTAGCAAATGTAACTCAAGTTATTAAAAATTATCATCTTACGTAATGACAAATGTAACATGTGTTACTAGAAATGTAATCTCATTTAACAGCAAATGTAACTTAGCAAATGTAACTTATTGAATACGATGAACTTTCATATATGAATCACATGAAGTAAAAAAATAAGATAAAGCTTGAAGAAAAGTTGCAAACCTTCATATACAAATATGAATTTTAATTTTGTAACCCGCACGGGTAAGCTCAGTTGGTCGAGTGGTGGGAGATTTGGAACAATGGACCAAAGTTCGAATCCCCGCAGCGACCGGGTGGAGGTCACAGAACCTGAAATAAGGTTGAGCCTCTGGTGCGCACGGGTGTATAGGCCTACTGCCATTCTGCTGACTGAGTCACCGTGACTAACCTCCCCACCATCCTGTCGGATCGGGGGGCTCCTGGGGTGGGAGATTCCACCTTTTGGAACAATGAATTTTAATTTTGTACTAATAAAACTTCAATTTTGACTTGATGGAGAGGAAAACAAAAGAAAGGAAGAAATAAAAGAGTTGATGAACAAGATGGCCGAGCAAATAGGCAAAGAAGATGATGAATAGATGGCTGAGCATATCGCAAAAAAAAAGGAATTGATAGTCGAACATGTCGGCAAGTAAGAGGAATAAATGGTCGGACAGGTCAGCGAATAAGAGGAATAGATGGCCGAACAAGTCGGCAAAGAAGAAGAATACATGAATGGAGAAAAGAGTTATCTACTCTTTTTAGTTAATAAAACACTATTGTATAGGGACCGGTATATCGTGCGGGCATAGTGTAACGAATAACTATCTCACACTATAATTTGATATGGGACAACATTTGTGAGACGGACCAAAAATGAAAGATGAGACAATCTAAGTGGGAGGGAGGGAATAAGATTTACCATTTGTCATGGCTTAATTCACTTCGTTCACAAATAGGGGGCGTAGATCACTCACAATTCCCAAGACCACGCCCTTTAGGGAATGCATGTATGAATTAATCCTTAGTCCGTAACACACAAAACTCATCACATATTGGTACTATAATCTATACACAAGCCCCACAAGAAAAGCTCAGGTAGTCCAAGAAAAGTTTCAGGCAAAACATATTTATTTATTAAAACCGATATAACAACAAACAAACAGGATATATGATTAACTTGCTTTTTCTTTTGTCAGATACCTATAAGTTTTATGCCATGTCATGTCATGCACCTCAGCTTGATCGATTAATAACCTCTACAGTTTTGGAAGGTCATGAAAATCCAGGAGTACAGTACAATGAAGATCCTAGATGCCTGGTAGATGATGGGGTAGGAGGTGCTAGAGGGTGCCCATTGACCGCATCTGAACTCTCTGAAGAATGGTTCCACTGACCGTTCACTCCAAAACTTGCAGCGTGGGCAACTCCTGCCCATCCAGGGTGGTGATGTGTATGACCACCATATAGATCTGCATAGTTCATCGAGTGGGTGGTATAGGTGGAGGGGGGCACGGAGTTTCCACCTGGACACCTACTTTCCACCATTCCATTGATGTTATTATAATCTTTGCAGTTTGGGCTGCTGCTGCTGCTGCTATCCTTGATCACAATTACTTCTTTGGTGGTGGAGCCTGCACCTGCATAATGACTATGAGACAAGGAGGCCATTTGGTTACAAACATCTCCCGCTTGTTCAGTGATGACACCGTATCCACCACCACCACCAAATGACCCACAACGATCAAGGATGCTGCCCATTGTCATCAAACCACTGCCAGCACTCCAACCACGGTGATAGCCTTGAAGATCTCCAGTCTGATGATATGGCTTACCTGCCTCTCTCGTGAAACTTATTTGTGGTGAGGGATTTGCTTTCGGGGTCATACTTTCATCATCATCATCTTTGCTGTCCACCAATACATTCTTTCCCATCAGCCTGATAACGGGCTTAGAGGGGCTTGGGAGCCCAGAGTCAGCTGAGACTTTGGACTGACACAGATGTAAATTTGTCGGGGGAAGTGGGGTAGTTCGCCTCTGCTGCTGCAAGAGTTGTGGTAAAGGCGGCTCTTGATAGCTCAAGGAAAGAGTTTGAGAGGAGGCACATCCACAACAGCATGACTGCTGCTGTTCACTACTACTGTACTTGAATCCTTTCTTAGGTAATAATAATGTTACATTTATGGCCTCTAGATGTGGAGTAGGGTTCTCCACACCATGATGATGACCGCTCGATTGGTTCTCTACTTCTATAGTAGTTGAATAAAGCCAAGGCTTTCCACTAGCATCTGGCTGGTCTGAGGACCTGGTAAAGTGGGAGAGTGTAGAAGTAGCAGAAACTGGAGAATCGTCAGATGAAACCCCCCTCCTATTAGCAAGAAATAACTCATGATCTGGATGATGGTTTTCTTCAGAAGATTGAGGTCTGCTGTTACTGGTGACTAGTGATGAATTTCCTTGAAAAACTTCTTCTGAGAACGTACGACCAGGACTGGGTATAAAGGACCCTGGTGGTCCCGGTATAGGAATTGAGTCAACCTCTAGGTGACAATACCCCCCTTGGAATTCATGCTTCTGAGTGACTATGGCACGTATATCGGCAGGGATAGGAAGCATCCCCTCTTTGTCACAGCAAATAAAATACCGCCCCTTCCTTTCAAATTCCACATTCCCAAACAGCAGCCGTGTATGATCATCATCAGCACCCAAGCAGCTATTTTCATCCACTCCAGAACCGCCCATATGTTTGCTAAGTTTTACAAACTTTCTCCCGGCAGACAACTCTGACAAGGCAGGCTCCACTTCAACATGGTGGAGGTGGTCATCATCACATAAGCCTGATGCAACACTGAAGGTAGAGCTACTATTGTTGTTATTATTATTATTATTCCCAATATCGCGACCACAGTGGCCGGCAATGAAATGTAAGCCCTTCATGCTCATATCTTCATCCTTCTTATCCTCCTTTCTGATTCTCAAGACCTTTGCTTTCTTGGCATCATGCTGTCTGGCTTGAAATTTATCCTGGCTTTCAGCGGCTGGATCATATTCTTTTTTATCATCATCTTCACATGTTTCCTCATCACGCATGATGATGGGTCTGCTGCTGCAAGGAACCATAAATTTCTTATGGCTGCTGCATTTCACCACAGACGTTTGACTAATGGGTATTAGGTTCTTCTTAGGAGATGAGAACTTCTTAGCTTTCGAAGAGAATGCATGATCACAGTGGGCCCCACTGTACCTTGGTGTCACTGCATTTACATTAACCGCAGGATTCCTATGATGAGGTGTTTGATTTAGACCACTAGTAGTGCCCCCACCACTGTAACAGGGTGAAAGGACCTTATCTGCTTTTAAATATTTTGCTGCTTTGCTCTTCTTCTTTAGCATTTGAAAACCAACTTTCTTTGTTAAATAAGGTAGCTCACTGTGATCATCATCACTGACCTCACGTTCTTCATCCCCCAACCTCTTGTGTCTTTTCTCACTAGAATTTGCCTTTAGGGGCGGTTTTAGGTTTCTTGAAGAACCGCTCAGGTTGGCATATGGATCTTCATGAATTTCACTACCCATCTTGTTGTAATCTTGAGACCTGAGTTGCAGGTTTGGGAATTCCTCTTTCTCAGTAGTTTGCTTTCGAACATAGCTCCTATCTTGAGCACCACTCATCTGTTTTCGCAGTAACGAAACAGCTCATCCATTAGCTACAATACAACATCTAGTACTGGTTGGTGATGGAGAAAATGAAAATCTATATAGCTCATAAACGTGTGAAATATGGGGAAACGTGAAAAGGGAAAGATCATCTTTTAATAGAAACCAATAGTTTGGAAAAGTTCTAAAGAATTTTTTATGAAGTTTCCGAAACGCATATGTGTGTGCTCTTTCCTGATGAGTTTCCATGCTTCATAGACGAAAATCAGTTTACTGTTCCAAACGATCAATTAAAAAATACAACAAAGTAACTAAAGGGGCTCACATTTGAGTGTGTACTTTGAAAATGCATGCATAAAATCAAAATAAAACAAAAATCCCTTCCTTTCTTCCATTCTTTAATATGGAGCACATACAAGTATAAAGTGCATCTGGCATATAGGAAACAAGAGAAGCTTGGAGGGTGAAATATTTTCAAAAGAGTTCCTTTCATTATTTATACTCCGGTATTATTTTTGTACATCATGCAGTCCCACCATGAACAGATTTAAGGACACAAAAGTTGGGTGGCGAAACATACCTCCAAAATATGTCGACTGAGAGAGCAGACAACTTTGTTGTGGGCGTCGGATTTCAAAATCTTCTTGAATTTTTTCTGGGAATGGTGGCTCTTGTGTTTATTCGTTTTGGAAGTGGAAAGGAACTTGAACCCTTTGTTACCTTTCATAAATTTCTTTGAGGCAAATGTGGTGCCTTTTCCATCATTGAACTTTGATAGAATCCGAAGCTTAGTCCCATTGGCATCAACATAGACTGCACCTTCAACACATGCTTTGTCAGTATCGACAACAGGCGGCAATTTTTTTGTTTTATCATGATCACATCTATCCATCTCTTGGGCAGAAAAGCTGGGACGGACAGCAAAGGTTGTTCCATTTCTTCGATCAAGATCCTCCAATGTGTAATATTGGGCAGTTGTGTAGATGTCAGTCATAAGTCTTGTTTTTCTGGGCTTCATCCTATGCCTGCTAACTTCACTATTCGCAGAAGTCCACTTGATGGTTGGTGACTCGCCAGAAAGACACCGATCAATGTGGGCATTCAGAGTGGTGTTTGATGATGACGAGAAGTTCTTGCAAACTGGACATGTTTTTGAAACAGCTGCCATTGATTCTGAAATAATAGCAAAATTACTTGGTCTATTTTCCTCAATGCTGCTGCTGCTGCTCAGCTTGGCGCCTGTAAAGATGCGCTTCTTAACTGGGTGGGCCTTGTCTGGTCTCCCAGCTTTAGGTCCCAATTCCAAACAAGACCTGCTCCTCCTCCTCCTATTCACCTGGACAGAATCTATTAGTGCTGAACAAGAGAAAACTTTATTCACTTCAGTTCCAGCACTTAAATTTATGTTAGCAGGTGATGGAGTATTGTCTGAGGTAGGAGGCAAGGAATCATCATCATCACACGGTCTGGATTGCTCTCCATGCAAAACGGTTGTATCCTGTTTAGCAGCTAATAAGGTACCACGTCTCAGATTGTCAGCAGTAGCAAAAGGTGGCAACAAATCCTTCACACCATGTTTCAAACAAAGCTCCAAACTTTTCTGAGAAAAAGGCCAGTTTGTCTTGATATTCTTGCTCCTGCCGCTAAAAACATAATCCCTGAAATCCATTAATCAGGACTATTATTTAATTTTATTTTTATTTCTGGACAACGGGCAAACAAAATCTAAAGATGCAAACTTTGCAATAAAAACCAAAAGAATTCTTCGGATGAAAGTTTCCTTTAAGTGCTCGTGTACATGATCGGTGATAAGTGCTGTTCCTCCCAGGATGGAATTTCAAGAACAAAAAGGCAGGATAGGCTAATAAGAGGATGACGTCATGATGAACATACACACATGAAATAACCCCCAAGAAATGCTAATCCGGGCACAAAAGCAGCCAGCATGGATTGGTTTAAAATAATAGCTCATGTAGATCTGACCGGAAGAAAAGTCTTAAGAAACACTAGACCCAGCCCAGACACTCTCTATCAGACTCAAAATTGAAAGGAAAAATGTTTGTATGTGTTAATATGCAGGTGCTAATTTTAAGTAAATCAAATTTACCTCATGGAAAAATATTTGGAGGGTGGACTTGACTGGGACAGATCTACCTTCTCAACAGCAGAAGAATCACTTTCATCATCACCACCACCACTCTTGTTTTCTTTAAGTGGAGATGAGGTTAGCTGGGGAGGAGGGGGGCACGACAGATCTGAAGCAGGTGGAGGGTTTTCATGAATGGATAACATCTGCCTGCTGGCCTTCTTCTTCTTATTATCCTCTTAACTTTCAGCATAACAGTCGTAGCCCTTCAAGCTAAAGATAAGGCTTCCCCACTAATTAAGATCTATCTCTAGATCGAACAAAGTGACTAACCCCTTCTGTTGTTGGTGATTCGCCCACCACCTGTATAAATCCATAGATCATAAGAGGCTAGGAAAGGAGAGATTTTTACTAATTGCAGCTTGCAACAACTCACTAGATCGAGAGTAGCTTCAAGAAATTAAAGAAGACCCGGCCAGAAGTTGAGTAAAGGAAGAAATGAGACCTCGAGAAGATATATTCTTGCAAGAACACTCCACGGACGTTATCATATGCTCACTACAGCTAGCAAAGGCGCGTGAGAGAGAGTATGAAGCATAATCAAGAGAGGGATAGCTGATTGAAGAAGGAAATTTGGGGAGGGAGATAGAGAGAGATAGCAGCAAGTTAAAGTATGCTGAGTGGGGTGGGGGCGGATGAGGTGAGGTGAAACATCATGAGATGAGACGTTATTTTATGTGGGAAACCTAAAGACGAAATTTTCCAAACCTTTTCAAGATGGGAAACAACTAATAAGCACTTCAAAAACTTGGCAAATCAAGACTCAACAAAACGTACAGTTAATTAGTTCCAAAGGGTAAAAAAATTAGATTTTTCTTTTAAAATTTCTTTCTTTCTTAAATAAAATTAACTGGGAAAGAAACGAATCGAGGGTACGTACGGTCCAGCTAGAAGGGATCGACATTTTCACATGAAATTTAGAATTTATCTTTGGTCTCCCATGACCAGAATTAATATAAACACTCACCCAAAGACCATATTTACTCAGACTTGACCCAATGCTATTTATTTTGAGAGAGATTTAAGAAAAGTTCTAAACCCCATTCTTGAAAAACAAAACATTTCTCAAAATCCAAACAATTCAAGCAGCTAGATCAGGCATCCCACCCGAACCCAGATGATCTGATATGATGAAGAGGACGAGTACCCAAAATTAAAGGAATTAAAGGATGGAAGATGGGAATCTGCAGGCTGAAGCAAGAAAGCGAACACAGACCGGAGATGCATGGCAGAAGAAATTCAAGAAAGAAATCAAGGGACAGCATTGATCGTGGATCTTTTCATGGCCTGGACTGGGTGAGAAAAATCGTACCTTTTTAATTTGCAGTAGAAGAATTGTTTAAGGGACTGCAGTTCACCGGAGAGACCAAAAAATGAATTGAAGTATGAGGCAGGTTCTTCTTCAAGACTTCAACTCTCATCAGCTAAAAAGCATGCTCCTGCCATTAAAAATACGAACACTGTGTTTATTTACTCTTCTTTTTGGTTGTTTTTTTTGTACGGAGTAATCGTAAAAGAAAAAGTTAGAGAGAGAACGATAGAGATAGAGACGCGGAAGAGTAGCAGGAGTAGTAGTCCAGTGCTACACACTACGAGGCTGTCTTATCCTACACCTACTCTACCCGTGGATCCATTTCTTAAAAAAAAGGATGACATAAATTGGACTCAATGTTTCCAGGTTGACCTACACACATACTAAGTAAATAAACTTATCAGGGAGTAAATTTTACTGTTTTGACACTGTTTCGATACTGTTTGGCACTGTTTCGACACTGTTTGACACTGTTTTGCACTGTTTGATCCTGTTTTGATGTAGGATAACTTTCCATTTAGGGAAATGGGAACTTTCCAACGGGACATCCAAAAAAGGAAAGCGGGAACATTCCAACGGGACGGAGTGAGTAATTCATAGTTTTTGGACACTCACTTAAAATTCTCTTCTTCCTTTAATAAAAATTGTTTGTCTTACATTTCCTTTCAGTTTTGGTGAAAGTAAACCAATTTAATTAGTATATAATTTTGGAATATTTAATTTGAAGTTTTAGAATATATAATTTCATTTAAATTAATAACTTCTTATATTTTTCAATTTAAAAATATATTTAGGACTTTTCATTCATATGATTTTTGTGGAACTTTAAGAAATATCGATTTGTTAAATTGATTTAAAAATATTAAAGAATTCAATTACATTATAATAGATTTTCTTAATTGGAGCATCTAATTATATATTCTAAATCTAGATACACAAATTAAGTTATTTTTATTTTTTAGGTACATAAAACCAAGAGAAAAAAGAATACTTATATCTTTCAAGGTGAAAATCTTTAATGGGTGTCCGAAAATGATCATAAAAACGTAAAGTTTGATCGATTTGAAACTTTAGTGTCCGATATGAGACACGCTATCACGCCCCAGACCGCATCTAAGCGCATGTATAACGGCTGTATGACCAAGTGATGTCACTCGCAAGTCAACGTGGCTTAATCATACAAGGCGTTCATGAACATAATACATCTATACACAGTAGTAAACATACATAACAACATCACATTTAAACAATGAATAGTGGAAATATTCAACGGTAAAGCATGGGCCACAACCGACCAAAACATGGGCTCACAGGCCCAAAATAGTTTGTAGTAAATCAAATATCCATGAGCAAGTGTTTGGTAGTTTGTAAGGAAATAAGGAAGCACGAACCACGTCTTCCTTTAATGACTTCACCCGTAAGAAGGTGCAGGTAGCAAGCCCTAGCTTCAACCTGAAAATGGCGGGGGGGGGGGGGGGGGGTGAAGGGTCAGTACAAGTACCGAGCGAGTAGCAAGCTAAATGTAGAGTAACTAACGTTTCAAGTATATGACCCAAACATAGGGTGATACATACACGTATAGTACTTTCCCCCAAGTTATGAAATACATATCAATATATATATATATATATATATATATATATATATATATATATATATATATATATATTCTTTGACTTGTTAGTTATTTGAAGGTACGTAAGTTTAATTCCATGAATGCATGATATACTCCTTCCATGTATGTGCATCCATTTATTACTATAATACACATGCCTTTACTTTGAGCAAGGATCGCCACATTAATGATAAAGAGATGAGATCTCCTCATAAAAGGAAGGATTTTCAAATAATAACAAGGCAAGTCTCACACTTAATGACTTGACCATCCAAGAAAGAAAAGTGCAACGGTGCAGTGGTGAGCTGCTTATATATATCGAGATCAAAAGAAAGAAGAGGGTGTGTTTAACCGAGCTTCTATTGAGAAATATACACGAGAATATTTACTAAGTCCAAGACACTTGAACCTGCTCACGGAGTTCCAGACAGAGTTTCTTTTTCCCTTCTTCATATTGTAATTGGGGTTTTGAGGATCGGCTAAGTGTAGCGTCCTCGGGTTGGTTAGTGTGTTGTGAGAAGCTTTGTTGTAAAGCTGAGAGGCTCTCTACCCGTAAGGTAGAGATGCATAACTCTTCCTAGAGAGGATAGAGTTGGGGTGGCTCAAGGGTAGACTAGGAGAGTTTCCCTTGTAATCATTCAAAGGCTTTTTAGTGGAGTTGTTCAAATTCCTCCGAGGGAGGTCGAGGTTTTTTAATCCCTTTGAGCCAAGGGATTTTTCCTCGTTAAATCCTTATGCACTTTACTATTTCGCATTTCCCTGAACCCCACACTAGAACTGTGCGAAAATCCGCCACGGTTCTACACACACACACACACAATTCACCCCCCCCCCCCCTTGTGTTGATAACCGTTTCATCAATTGGTATCAGAGCCGGTCTTCACCACATAAAGGGTAAAACCTTGGGAAGAGATCCGGCATTATGAATACGGTTGAACGATTGGAAGAAGGGTACTCGACTCAACGACCACCATTGTTCAACGGCAAATTTTACCAATTCTGGAAGAGTCGAATGGAGAACTTCATCAAGGCTGAGAACTACCAGGTATGGAAGATAATTGAGGTAGGCGATAACATCATCACTAAGGAGGATGCCGAAGGTAAGGTTATTTCTAAACCCAAATCTGAATATACTTCTGATGATTATCGTAAACTCGAGCATAATGCTCAAGCATTGAAATATTTGATTTGTGGACTTGGTCCGGCTGAGCACAACCGGGTTCTTGGATGCAAATCCACAAAACAAATGTGGGATTTACTCGAGGTTACGCATGAGTGTACCTCGCGTGTAAAAAGATCCAAAATTGACATATTTATGCGTAATTACGAATTGTTCGTGATGAAACCTAAAGAGTCAATTAGGGATATGATTACACGCTTTACTAATATTAAAAATGAGCTTTCAGCACTTGGAAAAGATATTACTGTGGAAGATCAAGTGAGAAAAGTTATGAGAAGCTTTCCCTCCACATGGAAGCCTAAAACTACGGCTATAGAAGAAGCCAAAGATCTCTCTACCATGACGCTAGAAGACTTGACCGGTTCACTCATGACATATGAGCTAGGCCTACAAGAAGAACAAGATGCCGAAAATGTGAGAAAGGAGCGAGGAATAGCTCTCAAGGCTCGAGAAGAAGAAGAAGAATTCGAAAGTGAATCGGAAGACGAAATGAGCATGTTCGCCAAGCAATTCGGGAAGATATACCAGAAATTCAAAGGAAATCGGAATAAGCAAGGTAAAAAGGGTTTTCAATCTTTTTATAACCAAGGTTGTTTCGTTTGTGGTTCCTTTGAGCACAGAGCAAAAGATTGTCCCCAAAAGAAAAATGACATAACCTACGACAAGAACAAGACCAGTTCCCATCGGAGGTCCAGTGAAGATAAAGGGTTCAAAAGAGACCTCAAGAAGGCAATGATGGCAGCTTGGGGAGACTCATCCGATGATGATGAGGAAGAAGGTGAAAGAGTTCCAATCATGCAGGGTTGTGTCTTATGGCTAATTCTGACGAGGAATCCGACCAAGAGAGTTTCGAGGTAAATTTGGAAAACTTTCTATCTAAGTTTGATTATTTGCCTAAACCCAAAGTTCGGAAAATTTTTAAAAGGCTAACTATCGAGCTTAACCAAAACCTCTCTGAAAATGAAAATCTAAAATCACAAATCACTGAGCTAGAATCTAAACTCGAGGAAACCACACGAGCAAAGCTAAGGCTTGAAACTGAAGTGGGAGAGTTAATAGATGAGAAGCTTAAATACAGTGAAGTGGTTTTAGAACAAGACAATATTATATGTTCTTTAAAGCTCGATAGCATGAACCAACAAGTTGATCAAAGTGAGAAACTTCTTTCGAAAATTCCGAACATTGGTGTGCTGATTGAACACCTTAATCGCCTTGAGGCTGAGAGATAAGATTTCAAAAATAAGCCGGAATACCAGCCGTATAGTACTAAAGAAAGAACCAGGTCTAGACCCTATTCTAGAACTGAACCTTCTCGGTACAAAAGAAAGGAAAACGAGACTGCGGGTCTCGGATATGTTCCAAGGAAAACTCAAATAAATCAAAAATCTGGTTTTCAGAACCAATCCTTTAACGGTAACAGAACTAGAGGACAAACCAGTTCCAGGCCATACCAAAGGCAATCTAGAACTGGACCAACCTGGTTCGATAAATTGGTTCAAAGGCACAAAACTGGTTATGGACAAACACCTAACCGAGAGTTTTATAAAAGGGACAAAGATTTTTATGGGAATTGGAAAACCAAATACGTTGATACATATGATAGCCGAATTCGCGGGCATTGTGGCAAAATCGGTCATCTTAGGTATCAATGTCACTCTCGGCAACAGGCCTTAGAAAGGATCTTTAATTATAGTAATTATTCTTCAAACAATTACAAAATGGAACCCAAGCAGGTCTGGGTTCCACGCACTAACCCTTAATCCTGGAACAGCGCCGAGTGAGGGGGAACAACCACTGGTTCCTTGACAGTGGGTGTTCTAAGCACATGACGGGAAATAAATCATTATTCCTCTCACTGCGACCATTTAGCGGTGGAAGGGTGACATTTGGAGACAACGGTAAAGGAGAAATAATTGCCATGGGAAAAGTTGGAAAGTCACCTAACCATGCAATTGACAATGTCTTTCTAGTCAAGGGTTTAAAGTTTAATTTGCTAAGTATTTCTCAATTTTGTGACCGAGGTAACAGTGTAGTTTTTGATCATAATGTATGTCGCATTGTTAATAACGAATCACAGCAAGTTATACTAGAGGGCAAGAGACTAGAAAATACTTATAAGGTTGATCTTGATTTATTGCCAAATATAAGTCTAACTTGCCTGAGCGTTATTGACAATGATCCCCTGCTATGGCATAAAAGTCTTGGACACGCTAGTTTTTCATTAATAAATAAACTTTAAAATAATGATTTGGTAATTGGGCTACCTAATATAAAATATTCACTTGATCGTATTTGCTCTGCTTGTGCCACCGGAAAACAATCGCGATCATCTTTTAAAACAAAGAATTTGGTGAGCACAAGCAAGCCCATAGAACTAATTCACATGGATTTGTGTGATCCAATGTCAGTCCGTAGCCGAGGAAATAAAGAATATGTTTTAGTTATTGTTGATAACATTTCAAGATATACTTGGACTATCTTTCTTGCAAGCAAGAAAGATACTTTTAATGAGTTTGTTGTTTTTGTAAGGAAAGTTGAACTGAGTTTGACAACTCACTATTTGATGCATTCTGCAAGGAACGAGGCATAGACCACAACTTCTCTGCCCCTAGAACTCATCAACAATATGGGGTAGTAGAACGGAAGAATAGAACTCTGGAGGACATGACTAGAACAATGCTGATTTCCAATGGTCTAGCAAGAAACTTTTGGGCAGAAGCACTAAACACGGCATGCTATATAATTAACCGTGCTATGATCCGTCCACTCCTAAGGAAGATGATATGCACTAATTAGTAGTGCATAAATGCATATTTTTATGATTGATTTGTGTGTATTGTTTACCGTTTTATTTAGTTTGTAAACATCTGTGTGAATTTAGTTGTAATTGTATTTTAATCTTCATTTATTAGTTGTAAAGTAGAATTAGGAATTATGGTGTTGAAAAGGAGGACTTTGAAGTGAAGAAAAAGGAGATTGGACTATCCAGAAGCTGAAACCCGACCGGGTAGAAGACTTCACCCGGTCGGGTCTGATTTAACAGACGAAATTCCTTGGAAAATCACTAGACCCGGTCGGGCCCACTACCTCACCCGGTCGGGTGAGAAGTGACCGGGGACAATCCGGCGTGCGAAGATCACCCGAACGTGGCAAATATTTGATATTGATTGATACCCGGTCGGGTATGGCACTTTACCCGGTCGGGTATCCGCCCCAGGGTGTTGAAAACACCTATAAATAGCACACTTTTCCTTCACTTTTAATCATCCCTTCTTCCATACTCTTAAGCTCAGTTTAGAATAGCATTTCTTTATATTTTTCTAGCTATGTTTAGTCTCCAAATGAGGAGCTAAACTTCCATTTCTTGGTGTTGCTCTTGAAGCTTGTTGATTATTAAAGTTGTGAGTTATTTTCTTAACTTCTTTCCTTGAATATTAATTAATAGTTCTTTCCTTAATACCATCTCTATATTAATGTTGGGGAGTGTTGCTAAGATGACAATTAGTTAACATCTCGACATTAGTTAGAATGATATTTTCTTCCTCTATATTAATGTTGGGGAGTGTTGCTAAGATGACAATTAGTTAACATCTTGATATTAATTATAGTAGGATTCATCTTCTTTAATAATATTCTTCCTTGAATATTAATTAATTCCTACTCATATTTCATATTAATATTTTGAACATTACTTAAAGGATCAACTAGTTTTGTTTCATGTATTAATTATTACTAGAAACGATCAACGAACCGATGGTTAATCGTTGATTGTTTCACAAGTAAGTAACTTCGGTTTATTAATGCACGGTCGTGGTTAATAAATTTAAGAGGGATTAATTTTGTTGGTTAAACCAAAACCGTTGTGTTGAGGTTATCAATCTCAATTGATTTCATCAAGGAGTTAGAAAGATTAAATGCTACTATTAAATCGGTATAAGACGTTGTTCTATATTTGATTAATAGTAAGGGTTATTAATGAACGGTCGTTGTTAATAACTACCCTCGATGAAGTGTATATACTCCCCGATTGAGTATTCGAGAGGGAATAAGTTATAGATATAACAATGATCGACTAAAATATATCAACAAGTGGAAAGTAGCAATGCCAAGTCCTTTTTATCTTTGAATTAAACACATATAGGTTGTTCATCTTAGTTCTTAATTAAATTAAATCACTCAATCCAAATCCCCCTTTTATTTACTAAGTTTCATAAAAAGAGAATTATTCCTTTCCCTGTGGATACGAACTTTACTACGTTATACTACGTATAAGTGTTAGTATTGAAAATTATTTTGACGCATCGTGACAAAGTGCTCGTCAAATTTGGTGTCGTTGCCGAGGAAAGACAATTATTTTCTTTTTATTTTATCTCATAAAAATCAAAAAAGAAAAGAAATACACACAAAAAAAAACAAAAAAAAACTTACTCTTCTATTTTCTGAGCTTACATGAGTTATGAGTATATGGATACCAACACTTCATCCTTAGAGAGTCAAATTTCCTTCTTGACTACTCTAATAAAGGAATTTATCTTAAGCTCAAAAGCTCAAGATGCCAAGACATGCAATATTTGCATGTCTTACAGGCATCTTACAGATTTCTGCCCAAAACTCCAAGATGAATACCTTGAACAAATTGATGATGTTGGTTACGAAAGGGATGTACCTCACATGAGGTATGATATGTTCTCCAACTCTAACATGTCTACAGAAGATATGGTCCGGGCTATTGGTACAACATGACCACCATGCAAAACAACATGGAGCAATTCCAAAATGAGACAAGTCTAGCATTTTAAACTTGGAAACTCAAATGAGTCAAATAGCCGGAGCTGTGAGTAGGCTTGAAGAAAGGGATTCGGAAAAACTTCCTTCTCAAATAGAATGTGATCCTAAACAGCAAACTTTTGCAATCACATTGACAAATGAAAAGGAAATGAAAAAGGAGATCCAGAATCCAGAAGAAGTGGAAGAAGAAAAAGACACGAAGCTCCAGCTGGTCAAAGAAGATGATGAACCGAGTTTCAAATACCTATCCTTATCATTCTTTGAGGTACCCCCATTAGTTCTAAAAACTTTAAGGGCAACTCATAAAATTGAAAAGGAGAGTGACATTTTTGAAATTCTCAGCACAATTGAGGGATCCAAACATTTTCCATTGACCATGTTAAACGATAATTTCTTTCCCTCACTCCCACCACATGAATCAATGAAAATCTGGATATTTGATCCTGGAGGGAAATCAAGCATTCCTATGGAAGCCCTAGGAGTGAAAATGTGGTGAAGCTAAACTATCACGATCCAAGTTTAAATGATTGAACACAATGATGGCGTCATGCCGCGACGTTAAATAAGGCGCTTCTTGGGAGGCAACCCATGCAAGGTACGTTTACTTGTTTTATTTTACACATTTCAAAACAAACTGGGAAACAAACCCGGCCGGGTACACTACCCAAACCGGTCGGGTATCAGGTCAAAACACTTCACCCACCCTGTCACCCGGGCGGGGCAGAAAATAAAAACGAAAATTTTTGATATACCCGACCGGGTGCTTCATGAAACCCGACCGGGTTATCACAAAGGGGAGCTACTGCCACCCTTGGGAAAAGAAACTCGACCGGGTGAATGGAAAATATCATAACCCGATCCCTGGGATGAAACACCCGACCGGGTACACTACCCCACCCGGCCGGGTATCTCAATTTTTTTGGAAACCAGACCATTTCTAAAAAAATGAATCACCCCCCCTTGTCTTCCCATTCGAACCACACCCCAAATTTCCTCCATTTCCAAAAGTCAAAAGCTTCATACCTCCTACATCCATCCACCAATTAAACCCATTTCATTCATCTCCACTTCACCCTTTTCATCTCCACACCCACGAATCACCAACAAAACCTCCCAAAAAGTAACAAAAAAACACATTCATCTCAGAAACAAGCACTAGGGACAGTGCTTTGATTAGCTTGGGGGGAGAGTTTAATGGAATACTCACATTCATACTCTTTATTCTTGTAAAAAAAATTATAAAAGCTTGTTAAGTTGAAAACCCGAAAGGGCAACTTAAGCAAAAATAAAGCAAAAATAAGAGTGAGTTGTGAGGATTAAAACAGAAAAATGTGGGAAGCTGGGATAAAAACCCGAAAGGGCACCTAGGCAAAATGAGAGAACGAGAGAAAGTATTTTCTTTTATTTCTGCAGGATTCTAAGGGTAACGAAAAAAAAGGTTGAGGTTGATAAAGAAATATGGAGTTGAAGACCCTCTTTACTGTTATATTTTTGGGGATATACTTTATGTGTTTCTAAAAACACTCGTGGATGTGTGTGTTGATATTCTTGTCATTTTAAGGACTTCTTGGTCCGGATTTGATTTACTCGAGACGAGTAAAGGTTCAAGTGTGGGGGTATTTGATATGCACTAATTAGTAGTGCATAAATGCATATTTTTATGATTAATTTGTGTGTATTGTTTACCGTTTTATTTAGTTTGTAAACATCTGTGTGAATTTAGTTGTAATTGTATTTTAATCTTCATTTATTAGTTGTAAAGTAGAATTAGGAATTATGGTGTTGAAAAGGAGGACTTTGAAGTGAAGAAAAAGGAGATTGGACTATCCAGGAGCTGAAACCCGACCGGGTAGAAGACTTCACCCGGTCGGGTCTGATTTAACAGACGAAATTTCTTGGAAAATCACTAGACCCGGTCGGGCCCACTACCTCACCCGGTCGGGTGAGAAGTGACCGGGGACAATCCGGCGTGCGAAGATCACCAGAACGAGGCAAATATTTGATTTTGACTGATACCCGGTCGGGTATGGCACTTTACCCGGTCGGGTATCCGCCCCAGGGTGTTGAAAACACCTATAAATAGCACACTTTTCCTTCACTTTTAATCATCCCTTCTTCCATACTCTTAAGCTCAGTTTAGAATAGTATTTCTTTATATTTTTCTAGCTATTATTAGTCTCCAAATGAAGAGCTAAACTTCCATTTCTTGGTGTTGCTCTTGAAGCTTGTTGATTATTAAAGTTGTGAGTTATTTTCTTAACTTCTTTCCTTGAATATTAATTAATAGTTCTTTCCTTAATACCATCTCTATATTAATGTTGGGGAGTGTTGCTAAGATGACAATTAGTTAACATCTCGACATTAGTTAGAATGGTATTTTCTTCCTCTATATTAATGTTGGGGAGTGTTGCTAAGATGACAATTAGTTAACATCTTGATATTAATTATAGTAGGATTCATCTTCTTTAATAATATTCTTCCTTGAATATTAATTAATTCCTACTCATATTTCATATTAATATTTTGAACATTACTTAAAGGATCAACTAGTTTTGTTTCATGTATTAATTATTACTAGAAACGATCAACGAACCGATGGTTAATCGTTGATGGTTTCACAAGTAAGTAACTTCGGTTTATTAATGCACGGTCGTGGTTAATAAATTTAAGAGGGATTAATTTTGTTGGTTAAATCAAAACCGTTGTGTTGAGGTTATAAATCTCAATTGATTTCATCAAGGAGTTAGAAAGATTAAATGCTACTATTAAATCGGTATAAGACGTTGTTCTATATTTGATTAATAGTAAGGGTTATTAATGAACGGTCGTTGTTAATAACTACACTCGATGAAGTGGATATACTCCTCGATTGAGTATTCGAGAGGGAATAAGTTATAGATATAACAATGATCGACTAAAATATATCAACAAGTGGAAAGTAGCAATTCCAAGTCCTTTTTATCTTTGAATTAAACACATATAGGTTGTTCATCTTAGTTCTTAATTAAATTAAATCACTCAATCCAAATCCCCCCTTTATTTACTAAGTTTCATAAAAAGAGAATTATTCCTTTCCCTGTGGATACGAACTCTACTACGCTATACTACGTATAAGTGTTAGTATTGAAAATTATTTTGATGCACCGTGACAAAGTGCTCGTCAGAAGACGCCCTACGAACTACTCTAATGGAGTATATGGCCCGGGAACCCCCGGCCCACAGACTCCTAATACTCCAGCAAAGGCCCAACAGGCCCAAAAGGCCCAACAGGCCCAAATCACAGCGCCCAGAGTACCAAGCAGCCCGCACTACGCGCCAGGGGTGCCTTCGGTCCCCTGGCCGAAGGCTCTAAATTCTCACAGAACGGGTTTCTCAAGCGAACTAAGAAACTGGGAGAAAACGACGAAAACAGTAGCCCTCGGTACTGTGAGCCCTCGGCACCAA